TCCTTCAAGCCACGCCCCTCTCTCTGTTTCATGGACTGTATCTCTAGCCTGAGCTACCATTGACTATTTATTTCCTATGAGTGAGTGTCCATGTGGCCAGAACCTCTTTCTTTCAACCCCTCTTAGGCATGGATAGCACTGATACCTGCCTTGAGGAAAGCCTCCTCTTCATTTATCAGGATCTGAAGAACACCCTGAGCATAGTGTACCTTTCTACCATCTGCTCTGGCTCTTTTTGCACAAAAACTACTTCTCTGTGAAGGCAGGGCCTTCCAGATCTCTGTATCCCCAACATAAAACCACTGTTAAATTCTGATAAAATAGATCACAGAAATGTATATGTTGAGGTTAGAAAATAGATGGTAGATATATAGACCAATGTAGAAATGTTGGTTTCTGCCCAAGGCTCGGCAGAGTACTAAGACCTCTGCCCAGGAGAAGGTACATAAGTTAAGTAGGTACAAATAGCAGTAATGGCTGTGGTCAACAGGTCATTTTTAGTAGGTTCTAAATGAGACATAAAAGAAGGACGTTTCCTCCCATAGTTGGAAGCAGCATATCTTTTTCTCCTGATGCTTTGTAGCTGAAGAATATAGATGAAACATTAGTATGTGCATTCTTAATAAAAAAAGACCCATCAATTTATCTGCTAGCCAATATATCTATCTACTCCCAACCCTCATTCCTATATCATCTACTCATCTACCCATCCATCCATCATCCATCCATCCATCATCCATCCATCCATCATCCATCCATCCATCATCCATCCATCCATCCATCCATCCATCCATCCATCCATCCATCCATCCCAATCATCTACCACCCATCTATCCATTTCAACTGTCCATCACCCCATCCATCTACTCATCCATTAATTATTTATTCATCATCTACCAAGCTAGCATTTATCCACCAACTCATTCATCTACCCACCCACCCATCCACCCACTCATCCATCTATTTTTCCACCCACTCCTATCTGTCTGTCTATCATCTTTCCATCTATGTATAAGTATCCACAGGACATTCATCAATCAAACATTGACTAATCACCAGACTTGTGTCTTTATTTGTGAGAGGTTCCAGAGATAAGTACTCAAAGAGCTCAGAGTTGAGTGAGGTAAACATGTCTGTGAACTGACAATGGGTAGAATGTTATGGAAGAGGGTGGATCCAGGGTGATATGGGGGTGGTTCAAGGGTCTATCAATATCTGGGAAAGAGCATTTCTCAAACCTGCTCCTTTGAACTAGAATTCATTCATTCTCCAAGCAGGCGTAGCCGTGGGAGGACTCAAGGCTTTTTTTTTTTTGGCCTTTCTGATTCAAGTTCTGCCTTTTCCTGTTCATTGCAGGCCTCTCGTCATTCACACGTTTGCTGAGGGCCTTGATTCATTGTGATTAGAAGTACTGGGGAAAAAGGAGAGTGTAGCTAGAGTTTTCCGCCTTGCCCACAGTCAGGACAAATCTCTGTCACCCGCAGTCCCACAATCCACTTATAAAATAATCACTCAGACGCTTATATCACTTATAAACTGTATGGCCATGGCAGGCTTCTTGCTAACTGTGCTTATAGCTTAAATTAGTCCATTTCCATAAATCTATACCTTGCCACGTGGCTGGTGGCCCACCGGCATCTTCACATGCTGCTGGTCATGGCGGCATCTGGCAGGCCTTCTGCCTTCCTGTCCTTTTATTTCTCCTCTCTGTTAGTCCCGCCTATCCTTCCTGCCTAGCCACAGCTGATCAGGTTTTATTTATTGATCAATCAGAACAACTTGACATACAGACCATCCCCCAGCACAGCCAAGTGCAGACCATCTCAGACACCTGCACTCAGGCCCATGGTCCTAATCATCCTCTATGCGGACCTGCTGGGTAACGCCACAAAGAACCCAAGAAGGGCTCCCACAGGACATACAGAACATCCCACAGCAGGAGAGTCTGTTGAGTGGCAGTCTGGGCCCAAGCTCAAGTAGCACTGTAGACTGCTCTTAACTGGGAGTCAATCCACAGGTGTGGGCGTGGGTCTATGACTAAATAGCACCAGCTGTGAGTAGGCAGCTTGAAGTTCCATGAACATCTTTAGAAATCTTCACACCACCGAGGACTCTCATCTTCTAGTTAAATCCTTTTACAAGAAAAACAAAAACAAAACCAAACAAAAACCCCAAACTCCATATCAACTCATAGGTTGGTTTATATTCCCTCGTAAGAACATCTCTACTACAAGTTTGTATTCTAGAAGGGGAAAGAAACATCAATACAATTCTGTAGAGGTAGGTAGGTGCTGTCAGGATTATAAAGTTAGTCTTGTTCATTGAGAAAATCTTCTTCTAAGCTTGAAAGGCTGGGGACATGGTCCTGTCATCACCTTCCCTGTGGGACAGGGACAGGTTCCCAGTGGCAGGAATGGTCTTTTCTCTGATGTTGGGTCAGCATCTGTGTGCTTCAGGTACCTGAAGAGTGACAGCCATGACCTTGGCATGTAGCTTTCCTTTGGGCTGGGGTCATCATTTTGTAAGCAGTAATTCGTCATGTGGACACACTCTGGTCGTTTCTGTAGTGTCCGTCCAGTTTTCACTCCTATGTCATGAAGTCTGTGGTGATCACAGCAAGGACACAGCTCAGTGGCAGACAGAACTGAACTCTTCATTATCGGCCAGCATGGAGGAAGTGGTCAGCTCTGCCTGGCTGTGTTATAGTATAAAGGGGGAGCTAGTGTGAGCTTGTGTACAGGCCTAATACAGCAGACATTTTTTTTTGGTGTTCTACATCTCTTTTCTTTGGTCTACCTTTGACTTCGGCTTCAGTTGTGAGGGGCAGTAGTTCAAGTTTTTATCTAGGAATCTGTTTCTGTGACATTCATATTAGGGTTAATGGCAGAAAATAATGCATGGGATACTGGGGCAGCGAGGGAAGAGTGGGGGATGAGCTAGAAGTAGCAGGGGCTCTTCCTGTAGTCCAAGGAGCCTGTTTGTTCTCAGAAGCCCCGAGAGGTCAATATTGTCCCCTATTTCTCTCCATTTATGTCCAGTTGTGTTCTTCTGAAATATTTTTAGCAGGCTACTTGCAGCTCAGGTGTGCAGAGATTGGTCCCTTTGACCTAGTTTGTCTGATTGATTATGCAAGATATCAATGAGGGGCCCCCAACCTGTCCAAGAGTGGAGGATGTTGTTTCTCTCTCTCTCTCCTCTTCACTTATTCTCTTCTCCTTTGTGCTTTGCTGTCCTCTTGGAGGATGGAATATCATGAGGGGAATTCCTTGAGAACAAGGCTTCTCTTCTCCACACTGAAGGCCTCTTCTGGTTTCCTTAGGCTGTGGCACCAAGCCTTCCTGCTCATCCCAAGCAAGGAGGTGAGCCGAACCTCTCCCATCCTTGGCTTGTGTGAACAGGTTGGCTCTGTCTCATCAATGCTGCTCTTTATAGTAGTATTCCAGTTTCTCATTTACCATGTCCATGGCCCACATGGCTTGAGTCTGGAAACCTGATGGGGGTGGTGAGGGAATGTAGAAAGGACAGACACATGTACAGAAAAGCTGGGGTCAGGGGCTCTGGTGGAGAGGCCCCACCTGCTACAACAGCCGAGAATCCCAACACATTTATTAGGTAGAGCGCAGATAGGTGGCGTTAGCTAGTCAGAGGACAAGGTCTCTGCAAGCAAAGTATTCTCAGGCTGTGAACATTAGGAGGAGGAAGCTACAGTTGCTAGCTTTTGAACACACTGCTCATTTGTAAACACTTGTACTTGCACACAGTGCCACATTCGCACTTGAGCCAGAGGAAGGCTTGGGCATTTCTGAGCCTGGCCTGTATGGGGAAGGCTTTGCCAATTTCCCACAGGTCTGATGCATTTGTCCTTGACATGGCTATGCCTATGCTGACAATATAGATTTATTCAGGACTCCATCTATTCTTTGTTCGCTTCGTTTTGTTTTTTCACATTCACTCAGGATTTCCTCAGCTCCCCACACCCGTAACTCACAAGCTCTGTGATGGAGCTGTGTTTCCTCTATGGGCCAGTTTCACTGAAGTTTGCCAACCTAATGTACAAATCCCAGATGCATCCAGGATGGCACTGCACATCAGGTGTAGAAATCTCTGCCACTGCGCCACTGTTGTACCGTCACCCAGGCCAATACTCACTCTGAATCTATCAGTGACTAGGGTGGTCTTTCCTATGTTCAGGCTTAATTACCAGCTTTCTGTGCATAGCTCCATCATTGGTACCCATCTCTCCAAGTCTTCCCTGCTGCTCCTCCTTAGCATATCCTACAAGGCTCTGCATGGCTGCATCTTGCCTCCTCTTGATCCTTTCTGATCACATTGTTAACACCATCAGATTGAATGGAGAAGTCAGCCAACCGTGGCCCTCAGGCTGAATCTAGTACACTGTCTACTTGGATAAATGATGTTTTATTGGTACACAGCTGCACCCATCTGCTTATGAGTCACCTCTTGATATGTTCAGGTTTTAACAGCAGTGTTGAACAGTAGTCAAAAGAGACTGTAAGACCCTCAAAGCCTGGTTTTTACTGTCTGATCCTTAATACAAATTGTTGGTGGTATTTAAGACCCTGATGGAGGCTTTGATCCTTTATACTCGAATGATTTTATACATGTTAGGCCATCCCTTTAGCATGCTCCTCTTTACCTTACTGCTCTGTGTCCTGTTATCTGAACAGGTGAGGCGCCTGCCTGCAGACCTCAGTCATGATGCTGATCACACTGGTTCTCTTGGGTGCTGTGTGGATATGCCCATACTCCTATACCTGGGGCAGATTAGGTCTTCTCTTAGCCTAACTTCACCACTTGGGTTGAGCTGCTAAAATAAAGCAAGTAAAGAAAATACCATAGAGCCAGAGGCTCCTTGCCCACAAAGCTCGGAGGACTGGAGGAGACAATTCTGTTGCTTCCCACACCACCCCAGCCTTTTCTCCTCACCTCATTCTTTAGAAATGCATCAGAAGAGAGATTCCCTCTCTTTCTCTTTGCAGATCTCCAATCTCTACCTGTATGATAGTGTTCTGATGCTGGCCAACGCCTTCCACAGGAAGTTGGAGGACCGGAAATGGCATAGTATGGCAAGCCTTAACTGCATAAGGAAGTCTACCAAACCGTGGAATGGAGGGAGATCCATGCTAGACACAATTAAAAAGGTATGTGTGAGGGGGTACGGCTCTGGAAGGTTGTCTAAGGCTAGAGACAAGTCCCTCGCTGTGTCCTGACTAGGTTGGTATAAAGATGTTTTGGTGTGTGTGTGTGTGTGTGTGTGTGTGTGTGTGTGTGTGTGTGTATGTTTGTTAGAGAGATTGCCTGAGTCCTCTTTGTAGACTTCTCTCTTTGTCACTCTTCCTGGGCCTATTTGAAAGCTGAGTGAATTGTGGTCCAGGGACATGTACTTTAAGTCTCCACACTTTCAGGAGTTCTGGCTTCAGAAGGTTAAATGACTTGCCCAAAGTCACAATTAAGTAAAGTCATAGCCTGTCCTATACCTGCCCAATACTCCTTCATGCAAACTATCACTTTTCAGAAGAAAAGCTCATCTTAGGTGATATGGCCATATGTTGCTTATCTAGGACCCCAGCTTGTGTACGTATGTGTGAATGTGCATCCATCTGTGCCCATGTGTGTCTATGCATTATTCACATGTAATATGTCTCACATGATAGAGAGTGGCACTGTGTCAGAGGATAGATTCAAAGTGAGTTGGGGTAGCCCACAGAAGAATAGTTAGAGTAATGGGCTTCTGGAGGCTTCAAAAGACCATTTAGGGAAATCTACAATGCCAGGAACCTTAGTCACAATAAATTGTACACGGTTTCAGTTGCAAGAGCATGTTCCAGTGTTGGTGTAAATTTACTGCAGCTCAGAGAGAGCACGGCCCCTCCTGGACCCATGCACTTTATGGCGTGTTTCTTGCTCCTTGAAGTCACAGGCAAAAAGGCTGGGTAAGATTCACACCCCAGGCTGAAAGACAGAAGGGAGACGGTCACAACTTGCTCAGCCCCACACTGTCTACTGCTCCTCTAGACCCTACTGAACTGTAGAGAGGCATGGGACTAGCATGTTTACCACAGCCATTCTGTGCCAGATATTGCGCTCTGAAAATGTCTTTTCTTCATCTGACGGGCTTTGTGATGTACATCTGATTAACTTCAGGATGAACATGGGAGATGGACAATGGTCTGCCCAAGATGACATGTGTAGCAAGGTCAGGCCTAAAGCCATGCTCATGTTTCCTGCCTAAACTTAAGGTGTATGTTGGACACAACTCTTGCTGGCTTTCGCCTTCCCCTTGTGTCAGGATAAGCGAAACTTCTGGAACAGGTTGCAAAGGCAAAGATCAAGCAAGCTTCAGAATTGTAGAGACAAATACGATCACATTTTAATTTCATGGCTAGCACAGCACTGGCACAGAGCAATAGCTATAAACACATTGACTGAAGCAATGACAGGTAAAAGCCTTTGGGACTTCTTCTGTCAGATTAAGACAGTCTGAGAAACAGTTATCTTGCTCTGATGTCCTGGGACTGTTAGCAGCTCCGTCCATCCTTGCTGTCGCCACTCATATCTGCTCCCTTCTTGGTCACTCCATTCTTGACCACACCAAACTTTTACCACCTCCATCTGTCCTTTCCTCCTCCCCTGCAGGGACACATCACTGGCCTCACAGGAGTGATGGAGTTTCGGGAAGACAGCTCGAATCCCTATGTCCAGTTTGAAATCCTTGGCACAACCTATAGCGAGACCTTTGGCAAAGACATGCGCAAGGTAAGCCCCGAGATCCTCACGTCCTAGTCTTCTTGCTTCAGTGCCTCTGAAGACAGCAACAGCTGTAGTTAGCGCCTCCTGCTCCCAGCAAGGGCTAACTGACAGAGGAGGCCCTTCCCTGCTTCGCTATCAATGCTGATGTTTCTGAGAAATTCTGGGGAGGAGGTACAGAGAAGTTTCAGGCCGGACATGCTAACAGCACAAACCTGAATCCAGGAGGGGTTCCTGGGAACCATTTCCTGTTCTGTGGACTAGTAGGGGGCTGCCTGGGTACCAAAGGGGCTGATAGGTTTTCCCAGAGTTGAGAAGACAGCCTAGCTTCTGAGACAAGTGTGAATTGTGGCTAAGGCTGGTGACAGAAGTTTTAGCCAGGGTGTCTGCCGGACAGGTGAAACAAAACCACCTAGAGTCCAAAGGAGAGGGAAATGAGAGCCAGGAAAACAGGGTGACTCAAGGTATGGCTTGGCTTTTTTTATTTGATGTGGACCTGGCAGGCCAGGGGGATATTTCCAGTGGTACTGTGTCTTTCTTCTGATGGACGACCAAGATGTCATTATAATAGTCGAGGGCTTGGAATAGTGATTCAAAAACATCCCTCAGATATGATTTGGATGAACTTGGGTGGGGCTTATAACGGGTATGAAGGAAGGGCAGAGGCTGCTAGTTAGTGTCTGCTCTGCTAAACTGCCTTTGAAGCTTTTCCAGAAATGTTCTGTGCAGGAGGACCATGTGCTTGTTGGGGCCAGAGATGGTAATACTCATGTGCAGGGACTCGGTCCTCTTTGGAAAGAATGAAAGCATTCATTGATCAGTTTACCCATGGTACAGGCTCATGTTAATCACATATAACCTTTTCCATATTCTTTGTGTGTGGCGGGGGGATGTCTCCACCAGTGATATGCTTCAGAGATAAAGGATATCCTTGTCAATAATGAAGCCTTAACAGGCCATGCATAAACTCTTACCAGAGAGGCCTGTAGCCAAGTCGGGAACAGTGCAGAAGTAGGCAAAGTTTAGATGATAATGATGCACTACTGCCTGGGTGGAGGGCTTTGGTTTTGTTTCTAGAGGATCTGGGAAGAGGGATGAATGTGTGGGGTAGTGAGGGATGAGGTCTAAAGCACTGGAAATGGGCAGTGGCAGCACACACGGGACAACTGATGCTCTAGGGAAAGGCTACTGTGTCCTGGAGTCCCAGTATATATATATATATATATATATATATATATATATATATATATATATATATATATATTTATATTCCCAGTGCAGAATCGGGTCTTTCAACCATCCTGTACTGGAAGATGGAGTTATGAACTGGTCATATCAAGTCTAGGGGTGGCCAGTACATATGACTTCATGATATCTTAGAACCTAACAGTTTGCTTGTGGTGCCACCCAGAAGGTTAATGACTGTGCTGTGATACCCAATAGAGTTAAAGTGCGATTGGCAATGTCAAAGAGGTTGAGGCTGGCTTATGATTTCTGTAAGGGATTGCTCAGAACTGTGACACTTGGTTGAGGGCTAGAACTGAATGGTTGGTACTGGTCTGGGCCAAGACTATAAGAAAATTGTTTTCTGTTGAGATTTTCATCTGTTAAGAGGACAGAAGGAGAGGGGAGCTCATTCAGTCACTCTGCTGTGATTGTAGAGTATGGCAGTCTGCCGAAACCACTGTTCCCATCAGCACAGTGCATGGGTAGGTGTCATCCTAGAGTGCTCTCAGAGTTAGTACCGAAAGTCTTGTCTGTTAGTTCCTTCAGAATAGCTCACCCTATTCTTTGAGCTCAGCTCCAGCTCCCAGGTTCCCACAGTGTGTGAAATGTCGGCAGCAGGTCTTCTGCTTCCTCTTACTGTACTCAAGACCCATGAACCCCATGCCTGTACCCTGCTGGCCACTCCAGGTCCTTAACGGGGAGGCATGATGTCCTTCACTCTGCATTACTGGTGTCTGGGCCTTCAGTGTTGCTACGGCAACACTCCTCAAAAATCCCGAAGCCAGTGGGAGCTAGAGTCTCTTGGTTATAAGGAGCTTCAGAGCAGGAGGTCTAGATGTAATTGAGTTGGAAGGGAAGCTGATTTTCAAGTGGGATTTATTTTAAAATGTATTCTTTTGTCATTCTAAAACCCTGCCCTTAATAACTGCATATCCCAGTTGTTATCTGTCTGCCTAGCGGCTTAGCATCGGGAACGAGAAGCTATGTGGGATGCAAGGAAGAGGATTTACTATAGCAAATGTTTGCTATTATGGCCCAGGGTACATGCAAGAGAGATGGGATGGGGTTCAGGATGAAGGGAGGAGAGCTGGCTAGGAGTGGGTGTCAGGGCGTACTGCAGCCTTTGAAGGTGGAGTAGGGCTCCAGTGTCCTGGCAGAAAATAATGGGAACGCAGAGTGACTTTAGGAATATGATGAAGAAGAGTGACACAGGGTCAAAATAGCTGAGAGTGGGTGAAGATTTGAGGGTAGCTTTGGGGTGTTCTGAGCCACACCGTGGCAATGTGAAGACTAGTCCAAGGAGCCCCATGGACAGTGGTTGTTTGTGACCCTTTACTAGACATGGTCACCAGGAAAACCAACTGGGAAGATGGCTGGGTGCTGTTTGCTGGGTGAGGTTTGTGCTTTCCTGCCGAGATGATGCATACCACGTATATTTAAATTAAAAAGCAGCTACAGCAAACGAAGGCCAACAAAAACCAAGAGTTTTTTGAAGATTGAAGCCGAGAGGAGTCATCTAAATTGGGGAACATAGAGATATTTTTCTTAAACTAAATACCTTGGAGAGACCTCTCTGGGAGAGTGAGTCACCCAGATGCTTTAGTTTAAGTGGCATCGGGAGACTGTGGATTACTCAGCCCCTGTATAGGAAGGAGTGGGTGATAGCCTTTCCCTGTAGGGTGCTGGACAAATACTGATTAAATTATCTAAACCAGAAAGAGCGTTCTCGTTGAGGGAGCACTGGATGGTAAAATCAAAAGTCTGTAAGATGGTTCACAGCCAGCCTGCTGTGAAGTACAGACAAACGTTAATCTTCTGTTACTGGGATTGGCCAGTGTCTGCCACTGGGGGCAGTGCTGTGGATATCATTCTATATAAATAAAACACTGATGGCCAGTGACCAGACAGGAAGTATAGTCAGGACAAGGAGAGAGGAGAATTGGGGAAACAGGAAGAAGGGGGGGAGACACTGCAGCCACCACCAGGACAAGCAGCATGTAAAGACACTGGTAAGCCACCAACCACGTGGCAAGGTATAGATTTATAAAAATGGGTTAATTTAAGATATAAGAATAGTTAGCAAGAAGCCTGCCACGGCCATACAGTTTATAATACAGCATCTGAGTGATTATTTTATACGTGGATTGTGGGACTGCGGGGTTTGGTGGAACCTGGAGAGAAGCCCTCCAGCAACAAGGCAGTGTTTGCAAGGAAGTCTCTTCCCATTGCTGTAGAGTCGGTTGGTTTGTTTGGAGGGTCTCCACTCTCCTTGTTGGTGGCATGCTTTTTCCAGCCTCAGAACTGTTAAGAGCCCACAAATTTCTACTTGCTTTGATCCTCCTTGCCCAAACTAACAGAAATACCCAAAGGGCAGTCATTCGTATAAGCTAGTCTGCACACATGTCCTTAGGTTGTGGCATGAGCAGGACACATATATTAGAGACCAGCTACAGTAAAATTTCTCAAGATGGGAATATATGGAAATTGCTTGGCATAGAACACAAGGGAGTGTAACAGAAGCATTGAACATATACTGTATACAAGGGTGCATTGTAAATATGGTTCCTTATTGATGCCAAGTCCATTTGCTCTTTCTGGTCCCATCTCTCCTGAGTTTCAACAGCCCTTTTTCCATGCATGGCTCTTCCTCAGACTGAAGTTCAGGGAAGAATCCTCATCCTCAGGATTTGCCTGAAACAAAGGAGCAGTCAGTGTAATTATCCTGCCCTGCTCTTAGCAGGGAGAGCGTTCCCATTTGATTGGTCCATCAGCTTTAGCCATCTGAGATCATACTTCTTTGAGTGCAGAACAGACAGCCACAGCTTCCTGCCTCATAGTTTTATGGACTGCAGCAGTTCATCACACAGAGTACAAAAAGCAGAGGCCAGAGATAGGCAGCAGCCCTAACCAAGTGTAGCTAGGATTACTGAATTCAGTATGCCAGGGCTGTGCCTAGTTCTTCTTCTATGCCTAGGATCAGATATTTAAAAAGACAGGTATGAATTGCGTCTTAAGAACTTCATTTCTAAATGAAATTTTATATTGGGGATTCTATTAGTATCTTGGTGGTGGTCAGTGGGAGATAGTAAACATGGATATCAGATTCTGCCCTTTGCCCCAAGCATGCTTTTCCTAGATTGTGACACCAGTTGAAGCCCAGAGAATGATTTTCCATTACCAGATCACTGAGATTGCCTGCCGTTCTCCATCCTAATGACAATGGTGTGGGGGCCTTGTTTCCTTCTATTAACACAGGATCGCATGTGCAACAGGACTCTGGGAAATGTGCCCACTGCCTACAGGTGCTTTGAACTTCATTTCCCTGGGTGGCATCAACTTGATTCATTGGCTCAGTGGAGGGCGGTGAATTTCTTTGGGAGAAGGATGGGGAGGTAGGAGGAGCATCCACACAGCCTGTGGGATTTGCTTTAAGACTTATACACTAGGGCTGAGGAGACCCTGGGGTAGCCTTAGAGAACTGGAGGAGAAAATTGAATGAGGACCAAGAGAGGCGGAGGAAGCGTTTAGCTCAGTGGCATTCCAGCTTTTTCTAGGCTCAGAAGTCTAGTCAAGCAGGCTCTCACTGGCACATGAATATAGTAGACAACCATAGAGGACACATGTTGTAGTTGCAGTAGGCAAGGAGACTGGGTAGGGAGATCTGTGCCTTGTTTTGCAGGAACTTCTCTCTGTCCTTCACAGCTCTACAGTTTGATGTACACCTTTTTCTTTTATCTTTCTGAAAATTGATGCCCACAGACTAGAAAATCTTCTTTTCCTTT